GAAATGGGATGTATTTGGTGGTTCTGATGTTCTACTTCAATAAACAACAGTTTCTCAAGCTAAAACACACAAATGTTGGTGTCTGATGACAATTCCTTAGTCCCAATAATTTTTCTCTGGCTCTGTCTTGTCTTTTTTCAGCAGCTAAGAAACTGGAATAAATGACTGAAAGGAATAACACCAGGGTGATGGAATTCATTCTGTTGGGCTTTTCAGTCCACAGAGAGATTGAAATCATTCTCTTTCTGCTCATTTTAGTGATATATACTCTAACTTTGGTAGGGAATGTTGGGATGATTTCATTAATCCGATTGGATTCTCGGCTACACACACCCATGTACTTTTTTCTAAGTAATCTGGCCTTCGTAGACCTATGTTACTCCTCATCAATAGCCCCAAAGTTTCTGGAGACCCTCTTGACCAAGCACAGGTCTATATCTTTCTACGCATGTGCAACACAGCTGGGCTTTTTCCTGAACTTCTTGATATCAGAGATGTTCCTTCTTGCAGTAATGGCTTATGATCGCTATGTGGCCATCAGCAATCCTCTTCTCTACATGGTGATCATGTCCCAAAAGGTGTGTATGCAGCTGGTAATGTGTTCCTACTTATACAGCTTTTCTGTTGCTTTGCTCCACACAATAGCTACTTTCCAACTGGTCTACTGTGGCCCCAATATCATCAATCACTTCTATTGTGACGACGTCCCTTTGATGGCCCTTGCCTGCTCAGACACCAGCCTCAAAGAAACCTTGATTTTCATCTTTGCTGGATTCAACATGATCAGCTCTTTGGCCACTGTCTTTATTTCTTACTTATACATTGTGACTGCCATTTTGCGAATCCAATCTACAGAAGGGAGGCGCAAAGCTTTCTCAACTTGTGTTTCTCATCTGACTGCCGTGACTATATTCTATGGGACTCTGATCTTCATGTATCTGCAACCAAAGTCAAACCATTCCCTTGACACAGACAAAATGGCCTCTGTGTTCTATACAATAGTCATTCCCATGTTGAACCCCATGATCTACAGCTTGAGGAACCAAGAGGTAAAAAATGCCTTGAGAAAAGCCTTTGAAAAATGTTATGTCCTGTCTCTAAAAAACTTTAAGAAGTGACTTGGAATAATGCCTCACTTGGAACAATGCCACATGTAGATATGCTGTTTTAATAATCTTTTGATAGAGTAATACATTTTTACCATTCTTTATACGAGTAAAGTTATTTTGTACATAAGTTCTATTTTTTATATAGTCTGTAATAAGATGAAATGTCTAAAGGGGTAAAATTTAAATTTTTAACAAATCGCTGCTGTTTGGATATGTAACACTGATAGCTATGACCTGGGTATATCCTATTCAACTGACAATAAGATTTATCTGCTCAATTCAAAAGTGTTTCTGTTTTGTAAATTAGTGGAGGACAGAGAAAGAGGCAAGGGAGGAGATGAAATAAGTTTCTTATCCATCCCGCTGTCATTTTATGCTATAGCCAGCTCCTCAACTGTACCCTGTTAACCTTCATTCTTCCCTCTGCTTCTGACCACCACTAGATTCACTACCTACAACTCCCTGAAATTACGCTATCATTAGGTCCATTGAAAACATGTCATTTTTCACTATGAAGATCTGAGTCAGGATTAGTTTTTGGAAAGCCATACTCCCTTTTATTACCCTATCAAAGCAAAAAAGCAGACCTATCCTTAAATTCGTTAGCCAAAGCTATACTGTACAAAGGTCCATGGAAATTTGGGGATATGAGGAAATTACAATGGGTTGGGGGACAGGAAGGCATAGTTTAGAACAAAGTGATAAATATAGTTGTCCAATTCCAAGAATGTAGCTCTACATTGGGGTGATTATAAAGCAGCATAATCCAGAACCCACTTAAACCTTCAACTATAATGTAACAGACATTTTTTCACCTATAAATTCAAATGTTCAATGTCTACTATGTGCTTGACATTGTGTACCATCCTTAGAGAGCCAAAACAAACACATTCCCTGCATGATACTGCTTAATGGTTTGGTAGAAGAGGCAGATATCTATCAAATAATTACAAAAATAAATGTTTAATTTCAATATGAGTTAGTGAGACTCAGAGAGAGCTAAAGTGTCAGAAGTGGGTGATTAAGACAGTTAATGCGCAACCAAGGCAAAAATTCCAGTAGCGTGAGCTACTGACCACAAGTACCTTGTGGAGTCCTTCAAGTGTAGGAAAATTGCATCAGGCCCTTAGGATAACACGGGCATATGTGGGATAAGGCAGTACCACTTTGGAAAAGAAATATCTTAAGCCTGTTAAAAAGAAATAAGGGACAAATTATCAGTCCTAATTCTTTTTTTTTGTGAAGCCCAGCAGACTCTAGTGCAAATATCACTTCTGCATCACTAGTCTCCCAATGTGTCATGACAGGCTTAAGTTTGGCTTGGATACACAGTTTAGGCTTTCAATCTGACGTGCTTCATCCCTGGGATACTGATACTGTAGGATGAATTTATCTTCCACAATTTATCACTCTTAGTGTTTAATATAATCTCCATAACCATTCTGAATGATGGTGCAAAATGAGTAAATAAGTCAGTAAGCAAATAAAATGAACGCAATTTGGACTGTTTCCCTGCTTACAATGACCCTTCTGAGAATCTCCCTCCTCCACAGAGGTGAAATGTGATATCCATTGTTGTACTAGTGTCTCTACCCTTATAAGCACAGTATCTTGGAGTGATCACATGATTGAGGATAAGCCAATCAGATGTCTTTCAAGGGAGTTGGAAATTGCAATCCTGTAATTCTAGTGAGTCTCAACTGATCACTTAATCTTAGGTTAAGTGCATTCTGGAGCTGAGGTTTCC